CCGCCCGGGAGCGCGAGCCGGAGCCGAGGTGAGGTGAGGTGAGGTGAGGGCGCCGCTGCTCCGGGGCTGGTGCGGGGGGAAGGGGCACGGGGCCGCCTTTGTCCCTGGAACGTTCATTGTGCGCGGGTTCGCGGGTCCGGGGCGCGGCTCGGCCACGCACCACGGTGGGCGCACGGAGAAAAACACCGGGCAGACGCAGGATGCACGGAACCGACCGGGACACGCGCAGGACGGACACCCGCAGAGGAAACGGGGCAGACACCTGGGATGGGCACAAAGGAAAAATGCGTGGCAGACATACGCAGGACGGACGGAGGATGCACAGAATGGACAGGGACACACGTAGGACAGACGTACACATGAGACAGACGCCCTCAGAATAAAGAGGACGGACATCTAGGATGGACACAAAGGAAAAACGTGTGGCAGACACAGACGCACAGAATGGACAGGGACACACATGACAGAAATACGCAGGGTGGACACAAAGACGCACAGGAGAAACATGGGGCAGATGGATGATGCACAGAATGGACAGGGACACATATAGGACAGACACACACGGGACAGGCACAGGCCGGACACCTAGGATGGACACAAGGAAAAATGTGTGGCAGACACAGGACACAGAATGGACAGGGACACATGTAGGACAGTCATGCACGTGGGACAGGCACAAGGACAGACACCGACAGAATAAACAGGATGGACACCAGTACTGGCACGCGCAGGACAGATGCCCAGAATGGACAGACAGGAAAAACATGGGACAGACACAGGGTGCACGGAATGGACAGGGCCACACACAGGAGAGAGATACACAGGACAGACACACATGGGACAGGCACAGGACAGACACGCAGAATAAACAGGGTGGACACCAGGACAGACGTACACAGGACAGACCCCCCAGGATGGACACGCAGATGCATAGGAAAAATGTGGGAAAGACACAGGATGCACAGGATGGACACAGACTGAATAAACAGGATGGACACAGGGACACACACAGGATGGATATACACAGGACACACAGGATGGACACAAACTGAATAAACAGGATGGATGCAGGGACACACACAGGGCAGCCATACACAAAACACAGGACACACATAAGATGGACAGACAGGACACGCAAAATGGACACAGAATAAACAGGATGGACACACACAGAATACACAGGACGTGCAGAATGGGCACTCGCACCCACACATACACATACTCCACCCAGGCCATCTGTGAGTTATGTAACTCATAACCCCTCATTGAAACCCCCATTGCTCTGGGTGGTTTTTTTTTTTAAGGTGGTTCAGAAGGCTTAGTATCCATCCCCATCCTGACAGGTATAAAAAAGGAGAGGGGCAGGGGTCATTGTACACTGGAGGTGGCTGAGAAGTGGGTGGGCTGTTACAGCATTGGCCACAGTGGGAATCAGTTTTGTGCAGATTCCTTGCTGCTTAAAGTGGGAGGGGTGCAGACACAGAGCAGGCAGAGCTCAGACTAAGATGCCTGTAGTCTGTATTAACATGACACAGACCCTTACAACAGAGGAGTAAGATGTTCCACTCCAGGCAGCATTCACATCTCCAGAAGTGAAGAGTATCTGGGGTACTAACTACTCCCTTTATCTGCAGTAAGTTGCTCTTTGTTGGATGCAAACCCACTCTCTTGCTACCTAGTGACTAGGGATCATAATATGGCCTGCTGTGGGCCAGCCTGATGCCTGTAGACTGAAATCAGGGGTAAATTATTCTCATGTGTTGTGTGTCCTCAGCCTTGGGGAAGATAGGCTGCCTTCAGCATTTGAAAAAGGTATTTAGCCATGTTAGTCTGATGTTAGGCAGAACGCAGGGTAGATTTGCATCTTCTAGACTAAATCAGATAAGCAGCATAAGCTTTTTGTAAGCTCAAGTTCACTTCATCAGATATTGTGTAAGGACAAACATGTTTGATGATCATTCATTCTTACACAAAAGAATCCAATGTATAGACTGGCAGCTGTGCCTCCTCATTAATACAGACCACATCACAGGACTGAATAGCACAGATAATAACACCCAGGTTCATTCCCTTGCACCTCTGCCAACATCATTACCATTACCTGCTTATCGTGCCCCTTTGCTAGCTACATTGGACAGGCAGGCTGATCTGTATGTGTAAGAATGAATGAACACTGACCAGACATCAGCTCCAGAAAGGCACTCGGACTTGTGGCAGAACAGGTCAGCCTCCCAAGACCTTCTATCACTGACCTCAGGGTAACTGTTTTTAAGCAGCACAACTTTAAAAAACAATTTGAACAAAAAATTGCAGAGCAAGACATCATCTTCAGACTGGATTCTGTTAAGTGTGGTTTAAACAGGGACCAAGGATTCTTATCCCATTACCTGGATTAGGTTTTGTGACTTTGTTCCCATGGTTTTATTTATTGCTTGCTTGTTTGCCTCTTCCAGCATGGCCTCAGTCTCTCTGTCCTCCTCCTCTTCCTGCCTTTTGTATTCCAAGCACTGTCTCCATTTTATACATTGCTCCATGCTTATCCTTTCATAGCATTTGATGAAGTGAGCTTGAGATCATGGAAGTTCATGCTATTATATATATTTATTATTTAGTTAGTCTACAAGGTGTAAATCTACCTTCTTTCATTTGAACCAGCATTGTGCTGTGTTCAATGCTGGCTGATATGAATGTCACTCATCTGTACACTAGTGTTCCCACCATTGCTACATTGCAACAGTGGGGAAATTTAGAAGAAAACACCCTCTCTGGGCCCATTTCCAATTGCTGTTTAAATGGCTGGTCAGGCTTGCATGATGGGATTGCTGAATCCCTGGCCATGTCAGGCACTGTTCTACTGAAGTCTTGCAGCAATAGATTAGTGTGTGAGAGCAACCTGCTTAATTGGCCTGAGTGGTTTGTTTGTTTTTTAATGTTGCTGCTATCATGTGATATGGGATCATTTTAAAATCAGAATCTCTGTCAGCTGCACCTTCTATCTGAGCACTTGTAGTGGAAGTTGCCAAAAATTAACTTGTGCTTTATAAATACTGGTTAATTAACACTTGCATACAGTATGGTAGCAAGAAAGGATAAGAGAACACAGAATAAATAAGAATAAGAGAAATGGAAGCATGACTGTTGAGGTGTGCCTGGCTATGTGCAGTGTTCTGTCCTTGCTATAAAGTTCATTGTCATACTTCATGAAAATGAGATATGCTAACTCAATATAAGCAATGACAATTTGGGGTACTACTGTATTTTGGAAAACAGTGAAAAAAAGTCAGAATTACAGTAGTCAGAGGCTTTTAGAAATTTCTCAATAGACAGTGAACTGGTGCTTTCTCTGGACTAGCACTGGCACTTGGGCCCATCCAGTGGCCCAGCAAGGCTTTTTTTTCCTGGTTTCTCTAGTATACTGAGGATCTGAGTTAAGCCTTACAATTATTACTCACTTCAGCCAACAATCTTTTTTTCCTTTGAAACCAGCTCCCTTAAATCTGTTAGATGAATTATAACTACTCATTTGTTTCTTATATGCATATGTGCGAAAAGTCAGGTCCATCGAGATGCCAGTAGCCTTCTGTGACCTGTTGAATGCCCTCAACTCCTATCATTTTTACGTTTGTTTATTTTGGTTAAACGTTGACTTTGTGCTTAATGATCCAAAACCAGTGCAGTCCCACAAAGTCAATAGGAGTGGAAGGTGCATAGTATTTGGCAAGATTGCCCTTATAATGATAATATCTAACTGTTCTGTGACAACTGCTAATGAACGACATGATATATCACTTTTCCAAGGAGATTAGTATCATTGTCCCCATTTTGCAGATGCCCAAAGTCACTCTGGAGACACAGGTAGGTCTGAGAATAGGACCCAGGTCTCCCAAAGCACTAGACTAAAATATCTAGCAAGTACATGAATAGGAAAGATTATCATGCATCAAGACTGTTACATAGGCATTCTCCTCCTTTTCCTAAAGTTCTTACAGATGGCTCAGTTAAAATTGTTTTGAGAACCTGCAGAATTTACTTATCTAGGTGGAAATTTGTTTCCTATTGGTTGTCACATTTAAAAGGTTTTTCTAAATTAATGCTAATTGTAAGTGACAGAGACAATAGCTTCCAAGTATAAGGAGGGTAGGGTGGGGAAAGGATGCCTTTTTAATTATTAGAAAAGTGGAATTTACTGTTGAATTATGTACAGGTTTAATTAGCATTCTGTATAGCTAAGTAGATTGGGTGTTCCGTTCTTGCTTAATAGTGGAAAGAACCACTTAGTTTAGGGGCCATTCCTACACCACTTTAATCATATGAGTTTCCCTTATTTATACATAAAATCCCATTAATCAATGAGTCTACTTGCATAAGAATTGCATGGATTGGAGAAGAGGGCAAGGAAATGTACTGCTGACATGGTATCCTATACTGCTGACATTTTTCTGTAGTATTTATTTTGTATTTCTTTTCCCATTAGTTAAAAAGTAGCATTACATGGAAAATACTTGTAGCCTGGCTGGTAGAGCAGGCATGATAGAAAAGGATTTAGTTATCTTTTTAATAAATGTATCCAGTGTAGAAATATCCCCTACTGTGCTCATAGTTATATGCAGTCTTTCCTAATAAAAGGTACTTTCTTCAGATATTCTAAGATGGGGTGGCAACCTTTATGGCAGATATGCCACAAATTATTTGTGCACCCCTCCCAAGTGCTACTCCAATTCTCTTCCCCTGTTTGCTTTGCTGCTTTGCTTTCTGCTTCCTGCCCTGTGCTCCCTACCTGATCTGCTGCTCTGCTTTCTGTTCCCTGCCCTCTTTGTTACTGTGTTTCCTGTTCCCTGTCTGATCCACTGCATACCACACGTGGAGGCTGCCTGTGCCGCGTATGGGGCACATGCTGCTGGTTGGCCATCCCTGTTCTAAGATGTAAAAGCCACAATTGGCCTGCCATTCCCCACTTTTATGAGTAGATTATACTCTTCATATAAGAAGATTTTCAGCAGACGGAGCTTTCCCTGGGTGAGCAGAACTGTGGTATACTCTTTTTTTAGTATCTGTTGCTTCACCACCTCCTCCCAAGACGCCTCTTCTAAGGGTGCTCAGTGTGGGTTTTGCATTAACAGGTTCTTAGAAGGGGATGTAAAGGTAGCTCTAGGCCTGGGTAGCTTGGGGAAGCATTAACTAGGGGAGTCCCTTCTGTATCTGCTACCTGTAGAAGGATTGTACTAGTCATACCTCTAAGGGGAGAGGGAGGTCCATAGAGGTGTGTGGAGGTGGTGGTCCTTCACAAAACACATTCCTCCTGCTTTAGTAGATTGGGAACTGCCTTTCTGATTAATTTGTAAGACTACCCTACCTTTTCTTCTACATACCCTGTGGCCTCCAGGCTTTTCTTCACTAAAAAGGACAATTTTCTGACAATTAAATGAGGTTCAGCTTTCAGTTGTCTGTAGCTCCTCTATACCTAAAATAGATTATGTTTGGCCCAAAATTAGTATTGGCTTCAGTAGGCATTATATTCCCGAATTAGTGGAAAAAGACCTGCTGCATTCTGAAGCGATTAAGATATAGATGCATCTACATTCATAAAAAAGAGTTCATTTTTAAAAATGAATAGTCTTGAATTATGGGTACTTTCTTTTTTGTTGTCTCCAGTCCAACCTTTCTATATGGTCTGTTTTCAATATTCTGCACAGGCCACTGCTTGTGGGTATTGTGGAGGGAACTGATGAAAGTGTATGCATGTCTATATTATTACTTGTATTATCTAGTGTCTGGGAGTCTAATCGTGGAGATTCTGTGTCCATGTTTTGCCCTAGCCTAACACTATGAATTGTCTGATTTGTACAGAACAGGTGTGAAGCCTCTGAACCTCAATGAAACACCAGTTTTGTCTGTAGATTTTTGTTCTCCTCAGCTTCTCTAGTGAGGCTAAAGGTGTTGAGGAAGGGACAAATAGGAGTGGGCATTACGTGCCTACAGAGGGAAAATAATGGGGTTTTTCAGCAAAGTGGAAATGGTTCCTCAGATATGTTGATCTACTATTGAGTAATAATGGGCTTCTAGTTTTGCACCCCCACGCACACCTGCACAAACTTGTGTGCAGTAATTTTAGGGTTAAGGAACATTCCTATCACATCCCTTTCTTATTCAATGCCAAAAGCTTGTTAGCATTTTTTTCCTTTTTTACCTGGTTATCTTTGGACATAACATTTTTTAACTAACCTTAAGTGTGGGACAGATGCTAACATAATGTATAACTGTTCAAGGTGTCCGAGCACCATTTTAATATTGTTCTGTGTGTCCTAGTGGTTTATGCATGGTCTGCTACTCATTTGCAAATCTGAAGTGGTACATAATCTGCTTTCTCTGGTATGTCATCAAATTGGAAATTTGAAGGGTACTGAGAATTTTTTGGGTTCACTGGAGATTACGCAAGTATCTAATAGATTAGACAAGACTCTGGTAATGTTAATCTGTCCTTCTCTGCCTCATTTCTATGTAAACTTTTTTTTTTTTTATGATGATGCAATTTCCTTGATTCGTTATGAGCAAATTCTCTTCAGTATAAAGAGGAAGGCAGAATTAAAAATGACTGGGATTAGCTCTTCAGAATCAGTACCTGAATAATTCTAAGAGCTTTCTGGGTAGAGATTTTATTATTATTTATGTAATTCTCAGAGTAGGTGATGTACTTTTTAAAGGTATGACACAGTTTTCTGCTGCAAAGAATTTGAATTCTAAATCTTCATATAAATGAGGTCTCAGTTTATGTACATTTAAGGTGAATAAAACAATTCTTTGTTTTCTCCTTTCAGATTTCTTCTAGGAAAATGACTGGCCAACAAGTTCTTCCTCAAGCTTTATATCTGAGCAATATGCTGAAGGCTGTGAAGATTAGGGAGAGAACTCCTGAAGATCTTGTCAGACCACCCGATGGAATAATTCATCACTTTAAAACTATGCACAGATACACAATTGAAATGTTCAGAATGTGCCAGTTTTCGCCTCCATTTCGGGAGATACTTCAGAAAGCTCTGATTGACCGAGCCACCCAGGTATCACTGGAACATCAGAAAAAGCTGAATTGGTGCATGGAAGTTAGGAAACTTGTGCCATTAAAGACCAATGGTAAGTTATGCATACTGTCATTGCACTGGTATTAGGCTAGGGTAGTGAAAATTAGTATGTTGTGTTAATGGTATATTAATTTGCATTAATTGATACTAGAAAGGGTATAGTAAAGTACCATATACATGTCTGTATCTGTGCCTATGAAGACCGTAAATCAGTTTCCAAGGTCCTGATTCCAAATATGTTGGCTGCCTCTGACATGTTGCTGAATGAACCCAAATTCCTCACAGAATCAAATAGTGCTTAGGGTAGCATATATAAATGGGTCAGTCTCCATAAGTTGTATAACAGAAGTTTGTGAATTATTATGACCTCTTAGCATTGTAATTTGTAGGGTGGACACAGCTGCTAATGATTTCCTAGTGTCGTAAGTACTGTATCATTTGGAGCATCTTGGATTTCCAACCTTTAGGAACTATGCTTTCTGGCTGTGGAATCAGTTCCTGATTAAGCTAATACTGAATTGCTTTCTGGGGTAAACAGCCTGTCTTCTCCCAGCACTTGCGCATAACTCCCCTTTGTATTCATGACACTTTTGTGCAAGTATCAAGAAGTGTAAGTTACCCCTTGGTTTTAAACGAGAGTTAAAGGAAAGTAGCATGTGGTATTGCTTGTAATATCATGTTTCATTTTAGGGCCTTGGGGATGATTTGTTAGATAGTTTGTGAATGTGTGTCATAGAGCAGAGGCAATAGATTATGGGGACAGAGTGCAAAGATTTGAAGAGGGCACACATTTGAATTGGCTATCAGTGAGTGCTAGTCTATATGAGCGTGTGAACTCCAGAGCATAGCATGTTTTGCAAACATGTTCTTTCTGTACACACACATACACACATTTCTCTTGTCTTCCTGGTTCATATTTTGTTCTTTCAACTTCTGCGATATGTCATTAACACTAGTCTTCTTACATATGATTCTGTTTTTCAAAGACAACTTTAACCCTAACAATAGAAGTGCAATCTCACAGTAGCTAACAGGACTATGAATAATATCTGTATATCTCTGCATGTCTGTATATCTCTAAGAGTCGTAGATCCCCCAGTCCTGCAATGGTTTCCATGTTTGGTTGCTGGCCTTGCCTCTGGACCTCCAAGCACATCAGTGGGGCCACACACTTAGAACTTCTTAGCAGAGCAAGGTTGTAGTGAGCACATACACCACTTTGCCAGCATTAAGGAAGTAATATTCTTGCTAGTGGTGTATTTTCAAACCCTTTCATTATTAACAAATTTCTTAAGGAAAATGTATAATCTATTTGGCTGTCCCTAAAACGATTAGGATCACTTGTCTAGCTGTCACTGACATTGCAGTGCAGCACCACACTAATGACAGTAACACAGCCATCAAGCAGTATGCTTTAAGGGCTGTGTCACGACTGGAGGACATAATTTCAAAAAATTAATGTAGTGTTTTATGGATCTGGAACTTGCTGACTACACATGTATGGGTGTTCCGTACACAGTGCTGAAAAGTAATTTTTGTATGGTTTTTGTTTGTTTGACTTCACTACTCCCAGATTATGAGGGGCTGAAAAGACTAGTGTGAAGAAGGGATGCCTCTAGTTACCTTTTGTGTTGTGGTGACTTTGCATAAACCGCAGGAACTTTGCAAGAGAAAAAAGAAAACAGTGTATACTGGGAGGAATAGGTTATCAAAAATAGAGAAAAGAACTTGCAGGAAACAGCCGAGGAAACAATGTTATTTAAGGATTCATGAATAGAGTATTTTTTGTTGGTTTTGTATTTACTTTTTTTTAATGTGGCACCAGAAGAGAACTTTTCAGAAAGAATTTGGTTCCTTAATGTGTGGATGTAAAGAGAATGGGGTTTTTTTATTGTCTTTTGGTCAGAAGGATTTGCTTTTCGGAAACTGCTGCTTTTTCCATGAACATTTTCAAGTTTTGAGAGCAGAGGCAACAAATGATTCTTGCAGGATTTTGCTAATGTGGACTTTACCTAATATGGACATGACTTTTTACAATAATTTCTTGACATCTGGTGATTCACAATATGTTTGTTTGAGGAGATGTGAATGGAGTAAATGAGGAAGGGAGTAGGAGGTATAAAAATTGAAACCAAGGCAAAAAAAAAAAAAGATTCCAGCATCTATTGGCTGTGGAGATTTCACTTGTATAATGAATAGACGCTCAATCCAGCTCAGGCAAGCCACACCCACTTGGAAAGTCCAGTGTATACTTCACAATTCAAATGTATACACATCAGAACAAAAAGTACAACTGTTGCTCAACTGCTAGTCAAATAGCACTGGGGAATTCCAAGTGCTGCATAAGGAATTTTATAGTAGTGGTTCTCAATAAAGAACTGAAAATAAGGGTTGCAAGAAAAAAAATCTTATCTTTGCTATAGTTTTTGCAGAAGTATTATAATTGCCCTGTTATTTTGTCATACTTTTTTTGTTTGGAAATAAAACAACTTCCATTTAATCCCATGCAGTATTCTCTGGTTTTCTTGATTTCAAGTTTATTGCTTGTTTTTTGTTCGTTTGTTTTTTTTTTTATGAGAATTGGTAGGAGAAGTTTAGGAAATCAGAATTGCATTGCAAAGGACCTGAATTTATGCAGCAAAATAGAAAAAGAAGTACTTTTAAGCGGTGGCCTTTGCAAACTGTGGGTACTGCAGTGAATTTAACTCTGATTAAGCCAGAAAGGGAAAAAATAGTTTTGGTGATTTCATAGAATCATAGGAACTCTCAAGGGTCATGTAGCACAGACCTCCTGCATAAATGCAGGGCACACTGTTCTTAAGCCATCCTGGACAGGCATCCAGCATTTATCCATTTTCAAAAACCTCCAATAAAAAAGATTAATTAGAAATGCAGTGAACATGATCATAAAGGGTTCTTCTACTGAAACTTCTATTGTACATAGCAAACTGATAGGTTTAATGATAAACTAAAAATTTCTTGTTGGTATCTTTAGGTTTGTTTGGGTGTTTTTAATTACCACAAGCAAAGCCTCTTAGTGGTTGTTACCCTGCTTCTAATGTTAGAGTGTATGGAAATAAAATGTGCTTCCACAACTTCAGATGACTTAAGTACTCCTACAGTAATGAAAAGGATTAACTTTGAATCGGGGAGGTGTCCAAGAATGATTCTTTTGCATCTCCCTTTCACTGTATCACTGGGGAGAAAGAAAAGGGTATGTGGCTTTAGCTTGGGAATTTTGGCTTCAAAAGATGTGAATTTTGTTCCCAGCTTTTGACATTCTTCCTGTGCTAAAACTCAGGCAGATCACTGCACTAATGAATCCTCAGTTTTCCCATCTGTCAGATGGGATGATAATCCTCTGGAGCTATGACCTTTAGTTCATTCATATTTGTAAAGTCATTTGATATCCTTGCATGGAAGAAGCTATGTTAATGAAGATCAAATTATTGCATTGGTGCCTGTTGTTTTTACTCCATCTTTCAAAAAGAAACAGTGCTCTGATTTTTTTTTTGCCATCTTGACATTAAGCAATATGTTCAATAGTTGGGCAACAGATGCCCTAGAAAACTCCAAGATCACCCATTACTTCCCTTTTGCTTTCTTCTATGAGTCCTCTGTCAGACAGCAAAGCAAAAGCATAGTGTGACTGCAGTGCCACTTGGCCTCCTCTGTTCTAGTCTTGGCCAAAGCTCCAGAATTGACATGTACATTTTCAATCCGTGTCTTCTGTTGCCTGTTAAACAAGTATAAACCCCACTTGTGGAGTAGGCAAGGAAATCTACCTAAGTATTTAATTTGTGTAATTAATTCTCACAAGCATTATAGTTTTGTTCAAATGTTTCTTTTATCCTTTGAAGACAAATGGAGTTGTCCATGAAGCATTTGCCAGACAACCAAAAACTTAGTTTATGTAGAATGACTATACTTTTACATCTCCTTTTCAGTCGGTGTTAAATGTAGTGAGCCATATTTATCAAAATGGGAGCTGAGAAGGTGTAATTTATATCTCCCAGCCACAGCCTGACTCCTGTATTGAGCAGGAAGGCAACTGGTAAGGAGACAGGTGGTGGTGAGGCAGCCTGCCCCCTCTCTAGGTTTAGAGAAGGCAGCTGTAATCTCTTGTCTAAGAGCCTGATTGGTGAGAGTATCTGAGAGGAATGCATGATTGGATCTGAAGCATGTGCAATGGCACATGTTCACTGTGTTTAATGGACCAGCTGCTCTTTTTGTGTTAATTCGTAAAACAAGATTTCTTTAAAAAAAAATAATCATTATCTTTTCTATAGGTGACGGTAATTGCCTTATGCATGCTGCATCCCAGTACATGTGGGGTATTCAAGATGTTGACCTGGTTTTGAGAAAAACATTGTTCAGTGCACTCAGGGAAATCGATACACGTAACTTTAAGCTCCGTTGGCAGCGAGAGACAATCAAATCCCAGGAATTTGTAGAAACAGGACTATGCTATGACACGAGGGTAAGCTAACTTGGGTTCACGGTGTTGTGTTTGGAAGACCTGGCAGTGTTGGCATGGTTGAGTTGGCTTGGGTTTGGATTCCCCCATAGAATCATAGAAAGGGCTGGAAGGGACCTCCGGAGGTCATCTAGTCCACCCCCCTGCTCAAAGCAGGACCATCCCCAACTAGATCATCCCAGCCAACGCTTTGTCTAGTAGGTTTTAAAAACCTCCAAGGATGGAGCTTCCACCGCCTCTCTGAGTAGCCTGTTCCAGTAAGAAAATTCTTCCTAATATCTAACCTAAACTTCCCTTGCTGCAAGGGAACTCCATGGAACCTCTCAGGTGAAAAGCAATTATAGCAACCAGTTATAAGAAAGTAAAAAAGGTTGATGGACAACATGAAAAAGTTCTTCGCAAAAAAAGGAAAAAGATTAACATTTTTTTGGCTTACATGTCTATGAAGCTGCTGCTATAACGGTGACTGAATCTTTCCTCAGAACTGGGAAGAGGAATGGGAGAACCTCATTAAAATGACATCCCCAGACACGTCTATGGCCCGAAATGGGCTTCAGTATAATGCACTAGAAGAAATCCATATATTTGTCCTTGTTAACATCCTAAGAAGGCCAGTCATTGTTCTTGCTGGTGAGTCCTGTATTCCAGTTTCTTTTGATACCCTAATACTAAAGATCATCTGTGCATTAATGTGTACAGTATACACATCTTTGTAAGAAGCATTCTTTTTTTCCTTGCTGGTGTGTTCCAAAATTGTTTATTTCTTGCAGTTTAGTACCCTGAAGTTTTAAGACCCAAAAACAAAGACATTATGTTTGTGCCATATTTGAAAGGCATTTGATCTTAGTAACACTATTTTTTTTTTTCTTCCTGAAACAGATAAAATGGTGAGAAGTTTGGAATCTGGTTCAAGCTTTTCCCCTCTACACATTGGTGGAATTTACTTGCCTCTCCTTTGGCCCACTGAACAATGCTACAGATACCCCATTGTCCTAGGCTATGACAATATGCACTTCACACCACTGGTGACTCTGAAGGACAGTGGGCCAGGTATTTCTTTTTTAAATTATGTTTTTGCTCTGTTTTGGACATTTGTGTGTTTGCTCCCTTCTCTCTTCCTACAGCATTTTTATCCCAACAAAATATAGTCTTGTCTAGAGTCACATTTTAAAATTACAGTGAAGGTAAATGAGATATTTCTGTTCAAATACTTGAGAAAGCCTTCAGAAGGTGAACATTTTAAGAAGTTATATTGGCTTGGTGTTCTTGATATGTATATGCCTGAATAGAAACTAATATGTGCGACCCAAAGTACCTACTGTTACTAAAGAACAATTTAGTTGCTGACCTAGATGGTACTGAGATGAAGCGTCTCCATTGCTGCAAAGTACTGATGATTATTATTATTATTATTACACACTGGCTTTAATCACGTGCCGTGTGTGTATGCATGTTCATCTGTCATGGATGGGACAGCATATTCCTAGATCCACATTAGTGCATTGTCCTATAAGTAGGTATAAGAAACTAAACTACTATCTCGTCCACGTGAAGTACAAATAACTACTAGGACATTGAAAAAGCCTGGCCTGTGACTGCAATTATATTTATGGTGCAAATAGCCCTTGGCTTGTACCAAGAAGTATTTGTGTTCCATCTGCACTCTTTGGTAAGCAGGATATAATTATGGTTTTTTCTTCCAGGAGAGTACACAGATTGGTGTTACCCTCCTTGTATATTGTATTTCATGGTCATCCCCATTAGTTCCAATAGCACATTAATCCGTTTGTTTTTCCCACAGAAATCCGGGCTGTGCCATTGGTCAGTCAAGAGCGAGGCAAGTTTGAAGACTTGAAAGTGCACTTTCTGACAGATGCAGAAGAGAGGGAAAAGGAGCAGCTGCTGAAAGACTACTTGTCTGTAATAGAAATTCCAGTGCAAGGCTGGGACCATGGTACAACTCATTTAATTAATACTGCAAAGTGAGTGTCATTCTTTCCTTCCCCCATCCTGGTTGTTTTAAAGCTAGAAGGATAATGAATCCAATCTTTCCTTTCCTGCTTAGCAATGTGCACATTTAAATACATCCTTATGCACAGTAAAGTCACATCACTCTCAGTAATAGCATCCCTTTTGGAGGTAGTAGCATCCATTTTTTATATACTGACATATGCCAAGTAGCGTAGAAGTAGAAATTGTCTCCAGAACGGGCTGGTGGGCCTGTCAGATCCCTGAGTTTGAATCTGAGTTTGGAGATGTTGAATTTAGAGGAAGTCTATGAATTTTGGCTTTTATTTTTTTAACATCAGCGCACTCCTTAAAACCTGGCAATAATTTTCCTAACAGATAAACACTATGAACCAAGAAGCATTGACACAGATTCTGAGAATAGGATTATACTGAAATTTAGAGTCTAAAGGGCTCCATTTACCATGACTACACACCTAGTTGTTGAATTATTATGCTCTAAGCTATAGGTTATCAACATGAATTTTTAAATCAGTAGCATGGATATGTAGTAATTATCTCCCCATCCATTAAATCTGCATTTCTGCCCAGTGTTGCTTATGGTCCCACCACCTTTGCTACTTGTCCTGTTTAGCTGCTGACTGGTGTGTTTTATCTGGCTTTCAGGTTAGATGAAGGCAACCTCCCCAGGGATATAAATCTCGTGGAAGATTACTTCCAGTTGGTACAGCATGAGTACAAGAAATGGCAGGAAAACACTGAGCCTGTCAGAAGGGAGAACTGCTCCCGGATCAGACAGGACCTGACCTTGTCCCAGCTCTCTCTTGTAGAGATGAAATGTGAAACTCCCAACTGCCCCTTCTTTATGTCTGTGAACACCCAGCCCTATTGCCATGAGTGCTTTGAGCGGAGGCAGCAGGGGAGTAATCCAAGGAAGCAGAGCTCCAAAACAGTCACCGAAAAACCAAGGGCAGTTGGATCAGGCTCACCTAGGGGGGAGCCTGGAGGATGGACATCTGAAGAACCAGTGACAGGACCTCGTTCTGCACCACCAAGAGTCCCAAGCATTTTTCTGTACAGTGAAACCACTGCTATGAAATGCAGGACTCCAGACTGTCCTTTCACGTTAAATGTGCAACACAACGGACTCTGTGAACGCTGTTACAACAGTTCCAGAAAGCTTGCTCCTTGTAATAACTTGGACAACCTGAGACCAGCAGACACTGTGACATGTAAAATGTGCCTTCAGAAGACACACAGGACTTTTAATGGCCTCTGCAGCAGTTGCCTCAAAAGGACTACAGAGCATTCTTCAAATGGCAGTTCTGGGTTTCCGCCCACATGTCATCAAAGGTCTGCATCTGATCCTGCACAGCTATCACAAAGCTTCCTTCAGCATTCCTGTAGCGCAGCACCCAGCAATAATCTGGAGGATCTGCCTTCAGCACTGCTTCCTCAGGCAGGGCATACTTCAGAGGAAAGGAAAGGAAGTAAGCAGTGTAGAAAGCCTGGCTGCAAGTTTTTTGGGACTCCTCATAATAAAGGCTTTTGCACACTCTGTTTCTTTGAGTACAGAGAAAACAGAGGTAAGTAGAAAGAATTTTGGTTCCACAACATTTTGGCCTCTGGTCAACATCTGTGAAAATGCAGGTGTTAAAGGGTTTAATAAAAGATGGTATTTACCTATCAAATGTAGGAAAACACCAGTAATGTGAAGCAACAACATTATTTTGGGAATATTGGGGTGATAAGTGTTCTGTAAACTATGGCACATGGCTGCGGGGGGGGTCGGTTCAAAAGCACTTAGTAAGTATGTCTCAATGCTGTGCACACTACCTCAAAATAAAAGTACTGTGGCTATAGTAGTGTGGGATACATTAATAGGTTTACTCTCTTGGACAAGTGTTGCAGTCCGAACACTGGCCTAAAGCAGCTACATTACTTGCATTGTGGAAAATGCACATGAGGCGCTGAGGAAGTTTGGATATGCCCAGGGTTGTCTCAAAACTGCTTCTATTGAAATTGCCTGTAAAATTCCTGTTGATTTCAGTGGGAAAAGAGTTAGAATTTCAAAAAACAGTGAGCATTTTTGAAAATCCTATTAAAATTCCATTTCAGTAATGTTTTGATGCACAAGTAACATATTGAAAGATCAGTTGTTATTTTACAGGGAGTATGCTTGGATGAAACTCAGAGACTTTTAATAAAATTTGCCTTTAACATATTCTTAGTATTGTGCATTCATGAAGTCGCATCTTTATAGGAGCAGTATTATTTAGATAAATCTTACTATACAGTCTGGCTTGTTACTCCTCTGAACTCTTAAAATAGTAGCTGAAAGGTGGATATAGAGGGGTATAACCATCTTTGTTCAAGACCAGCTCATTACTGAGAGTACTGTCTGAGACTTTTTAGAGATATTCAAAGTGAGGGAAATTCCCTGGTAGATCAGATAAGGGAGCAGCTGTCATTCACAATATCCATTTTCCAATTATGGCATGTGATACTTAAAATCTGTATATGTAGATTAGTTAATAAACCAATAACATTTAACCTATTCAGTGGTGGCCATCTGTGCTTCCACTTGCTATTTAATATACTGCTGAAATTAAAGTTAGGATGTATTGAGAGAGACCTCCATTGAAATTTTAACTCTGATTAAGTCAGCTACAGAACTCTTCATTTTAGGAGGCTCAGGTTTTCATTCTGGTTTTTCTTCACTGTGAAAGAGGCAAAGTTTCTCTGATTTTAATTTTAAGGCAAAATAATAAGATATTAGTAGCCACAGTTATTCTGAGGGCATCAATTCTGAGTACGTGGGGCTAGTTGATTTATTTTATAGATTATGAAAATTTGTTCTTCGCTTTTTCTATCCTCCAAAACATTGGGCTTATTTGAACAACCTTTCTTTTCTTGTATTGTCATGTAGGTGATCCCATAGTATTTCATCAGAGAAGATCTTCAAGGGGTTCTCCTGCATCTGGCCAAACTGGGACCTCTGCTGCCACGTTCCATAACACAGTTTCCTGTCTGGGCCCAGAGTGTGGCACCCTGGGCAGCACTATGCTTGAAGGGTACTGTCAGAAATGTTTTATTGAAGCACAGAATCAACGATTCCAGGAAGCCAGGAGGACGGAAGAGCAGCTAGTGAGACAATCTGAAGTCAGTGTACTTATGGAATCCTTTCCCCTTAGTGTTTAACCCCAAAAGCTTTGCTGCAGTAAATCTTTGTGAAAGAGTTAAAATACATAATAGAAAATCCCCCACATTACTGTGCCTCCACTTTCAGAAAAAGAAACATTTTTGCATAAGCTACTACTTCTGCCAAAATTCAACAGCAAGGAGTTCTAGAGCCTTTCTCTTATACAGTGTTACACTTTTTTTACACATGCTCTGGGGGTGGAGGAGGCAGCACTTTACTTAGAGAAGCTCGCAGAAGAAGCTGTTAAGCAGTTTATTAGCATTTTAGAAGCTGTGAAACAATTTAGTTCTGCTTTTAATTGCCATTTTTCAATTAAGTCTCAAGTTTCACAGAGAAAAGTCTCTCAGAGCTGCTCTAATTAAAGCACGACAGCATCTCATGTATCAGCGTACCTGCACTTCAAAATGGCAGCGGGGCACTTGAACTAAAGCTTGTTCGATAAGCTTTAGCTCAAGCACCCCTGCCGCCATTTTGAGGCACAGGGACACAGATACACAAGATGTGGAGGATGGCTGGAGCATACAAATTACCATGCTCCAGCAGACTCGATTAATTGAGTTGTCTTCAACGCACTGTAGTTACAGTGCATTGGAGCAGCCTCTGCACTCATGTACAGGCACTCTAAGTGATGAAACCACAGAAATATTTTGCAGACAGTGCAGTAAGAGCCATTGTCCCATTATCACAAAAAGCCTTGGTGCATTCATAGACCAGAACACTTTTCTCTGTGACACTTGATTGAAATTTTAATTGAAATATGGCAATTAAAAGCAGAACAGCTAAACTGTTTAATAGCTTCTAAAATTGCAACACGTCTATTGCAACACATCAAGGATGGCATATTTAGGAGTCAGTCCTGACTCATTAATATTCAGGGTGGGATTACACTGGTTCTCAGTATTGCGTTAACCCTGTTTCTGTTGAATTCCTATCAGTTCTCCTATAAATTCACTGGGTATAAGTTGGCCAGTGCCTTTGAACTTCTCTTCCTAAATAGCATTCTTGTATCTTCTTAACCTTACAGCCACTAAGCCACTTTGAGAGAAGGAATGCCCATCCCATTTTAATTGGATAAGAAACAATTGACAGTCATTTCAAGACGCAAGAATTCTATTTTTTTTAAGCTAAAAGTTTTCAGAGAGAAAACATTGCTGAGAAATGAGGTTTTAAAGGTTCTTTGTGATAAATCCTGCCCCAGAAGAGGCTCAGTACTTTGTCTTGCACTGGATTCTCAGAAGCAGCTAGCCTTTTTCCTAGAAAGTGAAAATGCCTTACTCATTTGTGTTTAAATATGCTGCCCTACTTTGAAAGGCAAATTCTCAAAAACCTCTTCTCTAGTGTTCTTTGCTGAGGCTGAGTGGCCCTGAGGTGGTTAAATACACAAAGCAGAGCAGTGCCAAAAGCAAGCAAGAGCTGCCTTTGCTGCCAGTGTGGCAACTGACATTGTTCTTAACCTTTTCAGAGAACCGGACAGCACAGAGATCTACAACGAACGACGCTGGGTAGCACCCAAAAGCAAAAATGCTCCACAGCTTCTTGTAGAAACAACTTAGCCTGCAGAAGTGACGAGTTGTGTCAGGAATGCAAGCGCATCGGTCAGGAAGGACAACCTAGGGGCCCTAGAGAACTGGCTGCAGAAGAGCCTCCAAAACAGCATTGCCGAGCCCCTGCCTGTGATCATTATGGCAATAACAAGTGCAATGGCTACTGCAACGAATGCTACCAGTTCAAACAAGTCTATGGCTAGTAGAGGAAAGCTGGTAAAGGAAGCAAAACCAGCTGGTACCTAGCTAAAATGCTGCTATGTCCAAAACACATAATTATCCTGCCATCTCAAAGTCCACTTGAACAATTTGAAAATACACGCATATCTGTGTGTGTGACTTTGGGGGGACATTTATCTGATTTTGTACATATTTATGTCCAATGATGGGAATAAATGCCTACTTACAGAAACAGTGAGAAGTGCCATTTGCTTTCCGCACAGAAGATCCTCCTCTAATGCTGACTTCAAACCTTTCTCCTCTCGGACTTGATAGGAATAATTTTGAACTATTTGAATAAAGATAACTTGGCCATTTTGCTCGTATCCCCTGCATGTGGTCAGAACTCATCAGGCAAAAGACAAGGAAATCTGAGTGATGTTTGAGGTGTTCTGCATCATATATCAGCCTTTCTCTGCGTGAGGCTGGTCTCTCCTTTTGAGGTTTTCTCCAGCAGAGGCTGATGGAAGGTTGGTGTGAAATGAGATGGGGATTTTTTAGAAGAAACTTGCTTTTGCTTTCCCGCTTAGTTGCCTTCTTCCTCAAAAGCAGGGCACCATTTAGGGTCATCTATGCAGTTCTACATTTGCACAGCCTTGCAAAAAGAAGTCAGAAATAAAGAACCATTTTGTCTGCCTCAGTTAATCAGTTAACTGATTAACAAAAAAATCCAAAAAAAAATCCCCAAATAATAGGGAAGACAGTGGGTAACTCCACTGGCATCATTTACAAACATGGTTAGAGGGAGACCTGAACTCCCCTTCTCATATCTTGTTCAAGGAAATGTCCATACCACATATGGGAGAAGCTGCCCTGACTGCCTTCTGAAGCCAAATTGGCCCTCTTTCTGCTTTGGTGTAGGAAGAATCACCACAGATATCAAGGAGGCATGGATGTCTCTGAACTTCCTTCTCCTTCCTTCATTTTTCTGCTGAGTACTTCCTGTGTCATGGCGACTGCCACCAACTCCTGCCTTGGGAAGTTAAGGTGTGTGACAGATCTCAGGACTGAGCCCAGATTAATTCAACACTGCAGTTTTCTCAGATATTTATTGCCCTTCAGGCTGTGACAACTTGTTCAGATGAAGCAGATTCTTCTGTTTCTGCATTCTAGTGTCAGGGTCTGATATTATTGAATATACTCATGAGATCTGGCCCATGACCTGCAGCTGTGAACTCATTTACACTTAAAATTGTTTTTAGTTCCCTTCTCTCCCACAATGCAAAGAAGAATTTTAAAATAACTACGCAATAACGGCCATCTCTGTGGATCACAATTGCTGTCCATGTTGAATGATTGCATGTTTGTACCTCTCCTCATCTTAAGGTGAGGTAGGAATTCACACTAGCAGGAA